TCCCAATTCTCATGGCTTGGCAAGGGGTTCTTGTTTACATTGGGTGGTGCTGGAGTGCATTTGATTACCCCTTTTTGACCAAAGACTCATTCTAGTTCTTCAAACCATAACAATCTTCTGTGTCGTGTCCCTAGATTCCCGAGTGTTAAGCCCATCTCTTGTTTCCATCAAAATTATGGGGGATCGGATCATGAAGTTTTCCTACAGCTAGTTGCAACACTCCGCTGTTCTCAACCTCTCAAAAAATTGGGCATGGGGTTCGGCAATCGGTGTGTAAGTGTAAGCATGTCTAGCTTCTAGATTTGGACGTGGTCTCGGTGCATATGCTGGTCTTTTTTTGTCGATTAGTGCCTGGACATGGACATATGGTCTTGGAGGATTGTGGAATGTTTCTTCCTGGGGTGGATTATAGTGTGGTTGGGTATTATACACTGGGTTTGGGACATGTGAAGTATGCATAACAATTTTGAAAATACTAGGGTATCAAAGGGACGATCCTCCTTGTTGGTAAGCGACAACTGAGAAATTATCCCTCTTCTTTTTTATGCTGCAATGGAACCCGATAGTATAGCCCTACTTGCAGCTTGCAATGCAATCATAGATTGAATCTTCCCATATTTAAAATCCCCATCTATAAATTAACCCATCTTGACCAGTTCGGCAAACTTCTGGCCCATCAGTAACATTATCTAATCAAAGTAGAAACCTTCTAGAGCCCGAATGAAGTACTTTGAGAGTTCACTCTCGTCTAGAGGTGGTTGTATCATTGTGGCCTCAGTTCTCCAGCGTCGTGCGTATTCTTGGAAATTTTCAGATGGCTTCTTCTGTATATTAGCCAAAAAGAATCTGTCAGTAGTAATTTAAATATTGAATCTTAAATGAGTTAAGAAGTCCTCAACCATTTCTTGGCAGTCACGCCACTTGCGAGGATCTTGGCGGGTATACCAGGTCAATAGTTCTCTAGACAGACTCCGGATGAACAACTTCATCCTCATCTTCTCATCCATAGTCCCATTCCTGTTGATGATTTCTCAACTCCCTCTCTAGTTAGGCCTTTTGTAAGTGGATCTGACACATTATCCTTTGACTTTACATAGTTAATTGTGATAATTCCACTAGAGAATAGTTGTTTAATTGATTTATCTTTGTCTTATGTAACGAGACTTATCGTTATACATAACGCTTTCAGCCCTTTCTATTGCAGCTTGACTATCACAATTTGTATGCATATATGGGCCATTGATTTGGGCCAAAACGGAATATCTTGTAAGAAATTCTGGAGTCATTCAACTTTTTCACCTTTCTTGTCTAAGGCGGTGAATTCAGACTCCATTGTAGAGCGAGTTGTACAGGTTTGTTTGGATGATTTACAAGATATTCCTCTTTCACCAATAGTGAAAACGTATCCACTTGTGGATTTTATTTCCGTTGACCCAAAATCTAATTCGCATCACTATGTCCTTCAAGAATTGCTGGATATTTGTTGTAATGCAAAACATAATTTTAAGTGTCGTCTAAGTATCCCAAAACTCTCTTCATTTACAACCAATGATTGTATTGGGATTACTTGTGTATCGACTCAGTTTACTGATAGCACAAGCTATGTATGGTCGTGTACAATTCATGACATACATCAAACTTCCCAATACTCTGGCATAATCCAATTGAGATTGACTTTTACCTTTATTCTTTGCAAGATGAAAGTTTACATCGATTGGGGTCTTTGCCCTTTTGAAGTTTAAATACTTAAACTTTTCAAGTACCTTCTGATTATAATGAGTTTGAGACAATGCTATACCGTTAGGAGTTTCGAGAATCTTAATTTCCAACATCACGTCAGCAACTCCTAGATATTTCATATCAAACTTACTAGTGAGTATAAGCTTAGTAGTTTTTATATTGGCAATGTCCTTGCTCATTATCAACATGTCATCCACATATAGACATACAATGACTTCCTGATTCAAAGTATCTTTAATGTAAACACATGTATCACATTCATTGATCTTAAATCCATTTGACAACATGATTTGATAAAACTTTGCATGTCATTGTTTCGATGCTTGTTTTAGTCCATAAAGTGACTTAATAAGTTTAAACACTTTCTTTTCTTCACCAGGAACTACAAAATTCTCAGGCTGTTCCATGTAAATTTCTTCCTCCATCTTTCCATTTAAGAAGACGGTTTTCACATTCATTTGATGGATATCAAGATCGTATACTGCAGCTAGAGCGATTAATATCGAGTTGATGTAATCCTAGTCACTGACGAGTATGTGTCAAAATAATCAAGACCTTCTTTTTGTCTAAAGCCTTTGACAACAAGTCTTGTTTTATATTTGTCAATAGTTTCATCATCTTTTTAAAGATCCATTTTGAAACCAAGGGTTAATTTCTTGGAGGAAGATCAAGCAAATCCCACGTATGATTGCTTAGGATTGATTCAATCTCACTATTGACAACCTTTTTCCAATAGGTTGAGTCCCTAGACAATATTGCTTCCTTCAATGTTTGAGGCTCACTTTCAAGAAGGAATGTTACAAAATCAGATCCAAATGAAGTAGTTGTCCTTTGACATTTATTGTGCCTTGGGCTCTCTTCATTGTTTTCATTCTCTTTTGGTTCTTCTTGGGATTGTTTAGATCCCACACTAGATAACTCAAGTCTAGCTTTATATGGATAGATATGTTCAAAAAATTCAGCATTATCTGATTTCATTATCATATTATCATGAATATCTGGATGTTCAGACTTACAAACCAAAGATCGACATGCCTTACTGTTTGTGGCATATCAAATGAATACACAGTCCACGGTCTTAGACCCTATTTTCACCCTCTTAGGTATAGGAACCTAGACTTTGTCTAGACACCCTCACACTTTAATATATTTAAAATTGAATTTTCTACCTTTTCATTTCTCATATGTAATAACATGTGTCTTCGTGTGAGGCACTCTATTGAGTATTCAATTTGTTGTAAGGACAGCTTCCCCTACAAGTTTTTTTTTGTGGTGATTTTGAACTTATGAGTAAGATATTCATCATTTCCTTTAAAGTTTGATTTTTTCTTTCAACAATCCCATTAGATTGATGGATTATTCCATTTTCCAAATATATTTCTATAAATGGAGACTCATATTCTCCGCCTCTATCACTTCTATCATTTTCATTTTTCTATCCAAGTGATTTTCAACTTCAGTTTTATATTGCCTGAATGCATTTATTGCTTCATCCTTACCATTTAGCAAGTAAACATAACTATATTTTGTGCAATCGTCAATAAAAGTTATAAAGTACTTTTTTCCACCACGTGATGGTGTTGACTTCATGTCACAAATGTCAATGTGAATCAGTTCTAAGGGATTTGAATTCCTTTTAATAGATTTATACAGATGCTTAGCATACTTAGATTCAACGCAACTTGACATTTGCACTCAAATTTAGGAAAAACATTGAAGTTAATCATTTTTCGCAAAGTTTTACTTTTAACTTGTCTCAAACATTCATGCCAATTAGACTCCAACAAATAAGAAGAAGTAAAATCTTTATTCATATCAAATGCAATTACAATAAGTTTGAAAATGCTATCATTAAGATAACATTTTTCTACATACATTTCATCTTATGCCCTACTATTTTATCAGAAACAAATACACATTTGAATTCATTCTTAGTCAGAAATGGAATAGAAACTAAGTTCTTGCTATTAGGTTTTATTTTTCCTAAATTTCTTGCCATAAATAGGTTTTCCTTTTAGGAAAAAAACTTTTGGATTGACTAATCTTTTTTCTTGTAGGAAATGGTTTAGGACTCTATAAATAGAGGAATGTTCCTTCTAACTTTATCAGCTTACACAATGTAGTCTTAAGGGCTTTGACAGATTTGGTTAGGGAGAGATTTTATGGGTCACAAGCTTGATACGTTATCACTTGTGTGAACCTCCCATGTATTCCAAGTTGGTTGAGGTTGTTTCCTTGTGTATTTTGTACTCTCATAATTATAGTGAATTGCTCATCTTCTTTGTGGATGTAGGTCGATTGATCGGACCACGTTAAATCTTTGTGTCTTTTCGTATAATTCCTGTTGTCTTCTTGCTCGTGGTCTTTTGAGATTTGCTTTGCTAGTTTCCGCATTTACACCTGCTTATTTTTTATCCTAACAAGTTTTATTAGAGCCGGATTCAATAATGGAGTCAGGTTTAGTGGTTCGATAAGTGATGATTGAACCTGGTTCAAATGATGTGTTCATCTTGACAGGTGTAGTTTTAGCTGCAACCTTTTTGACAGTAATGAAGATTTTGTTGGAGAAATTGTTTCAGAGAGGTTCTCTGTGTTGAGACATAAATTTTTCAAAAGAGATTATGGAGAGGAGAAGCAAGTTGTTAAAGATTAAGTAAAAAGGATGAACAAATTTAATTTGTCAGAATTTCAGGTCAAGGGGGAGATTTGTTAGGTTTTATTTGCCCTAAATTTCTTACCATAAATAGGTTTTTCTTTTAGGAAAAAGTTTTGAATTGACTAATCCTTTTTCTTGTAGGAAAAGGTTTATGACTCTATAAATAGAGGAATGTCCCTTCTAACTTAATCAGCATTCACATTGTAGTCTTAAGGGCTTTGAGAGTTTTGGTTAGGGGGAGAATTTATGGGTCACAAACTTGATACGTTATTACTTGTGTGAACCTCCCATGTATTCCGAGTGAATTGGTTGAGGTTGTTTCCCTCTGTATTTTGTACTCTCATATTTATAGTGGATTGCTCATCTCTTTTGTGGATGTAGGTCGATTGACCGAACCACGTTAAATCTTTGTGTCTTCTGGTATATTTCTCGTTGTCTTCTTACTCGTGATCTTTTGAGGTTTGCTTTGCTAGATTCCGCATTTACACCTACTTATTTTCGGTTATCTTGCTTATATTCCCCTCCATATGGATAACCTTCGCTCTAATACTAGTTGTTGTAACGAAAAGATGAAATCAAAAATCTAACAATAAAGAACACCAAGTTTAATGTGGAAAAACCCTTCAAACCGAAAGTAACCACCACGGGATCGACAAGATCCGAATTGCTTCACCATACCAATAAGAAGGTTACAAATATTCTTCTAATGGCTACACAACAAGTGCCAAAAGAGAACAAACAATAGCTATATTAACAAAAGATAAATAGAAAGAAATACCACCCAAATCCAGCTTCTGTTCGAGACCTAAAATTTGATCCTGCTGACCTTCAATCCGATCTTCACCGTTCAAATCAACCACCAAGATGTCAGGAACACTCAATCCAAATTTCAGCCCGATCCAACGGTTCTGGAAACACGATCTGAATGTTGTTGGTAAGAGAAAAAGACTATAGCAAAAGAACCCTTTTCTTTATCTCTTTTTCTCTTGTTGAAAGCTCTCTCAAAGAACCTCACTTATGTTCTAATGTCTTTCAATGACAATACCAATGAACAATTACTTATTCTCTCAAACCATCCTCTATTTATAGAGTTGTTCTTTTCCTTACAAAGCCAAAACAACTACAAATAGGATTACAATTCCAATTCTTTTCCTAATAGAATTGGAAACCAAATAAAGAGAATAATTTCAATCCTTTTTCCAAGTAGGATTAGGCCATGGACATTTGGCTGGAACATAGGCAATATCCCAACACTTGCGCAGTTCAAGAACATATGAGACCCTGTTCAAAATCACCACTTTGCTTGATTTCATCTTTAAAAGGACCTTGTCAGTTCCTTCCATCTTTGAAACAGTGGAGTTTTCCATAAAAAATTCTCATCTGTAGGTGTTGGAGTATATGATGAAAATAATTCTTTATTGGCACAAACATGCCATGAGGCACCTGAATCTTCCACAATCTTCTTGGATGTCCAACCAAGTTACATTCTAAAGCATTGCATAGAGTAGTCCGTTGCTCCTTTGGATTCAACCAAATTTGTTTGATCCTTCTTCTTCTTGTCCTTCTTCGGACCCCTATATTCAGTAGCCATATAACCACATTTACCATAATTGAATCAACTTCCATTTGAATTTCTTCTTAGGAGGATTGTTTTTTGGACCAGATGTTTTCTTTCTTTTCTTTAATTTTGTGGGATCTTCTTCGACAATATTTACTCCAGATATGCTGAATTACCACGTGACCTCTTTTCTGCAGCTTTGTTATCCTCTTCGATTCTCAAACTTACTATGAGATCTTCAACAGTCATCTCCTTGCGTTTATATTTCAAGTAGTTTTTGAAGTCCTTCCACAATGGAGGTAACTTCTCAATAATGACAGCCACTTGAAAAACATCATTCACAATCAATCCTATATTAAAGAATATATGAGTATAAAAAATAAACTTAATATTTTGAACATAGGCATTAAATAATTATATATCTTCCGCAAGGAGATCATCTTATAGTCCAGATACTTTGTCACAATGAACTTCTTCATTCCGGCATCCTCTGTTTTGTATTTCTTTTCTAAAGCATCTTAGAGTTTTTTTAGAGGTTTTGACATTACTATACACATTATACAGATCATCTTGCAGGTCACTCAAAATATAATTTATACAAAAAAATGTGAGTGTGTCCATGCTTCCGTTACCAAGAATCGTTTTTCAGGCGGAGTTTCATCTGACATGAAAGGAACATATGTATTAATGAAATTCTGAAGACTCAAAGTAGTGAGATAAAAGAACATCTTCCACTGTCATCTTTTGAAGTTGAATCCAGAAAACTTTATAAGTTTCTCAGTCGGCGCTAGGGCAACAGTTGAACGATTGTGTGCAACCGATGTTGTTGCATCACTTACTATTGCAGCACTCACTGTTTTAACATTTACTTGACTTGTGTTTTACTTTAAATATATATAATGTAAATGACTAATTTTTGAAAAATCGATTAATCTTATGATTTAAGAGAAATCATTTTTTTGAATTGACAGAGTCGCCACTTGATTTTTTTGTAAAATCAAGAAAACTTAAAATTATTTTTCAAAAGATTTAAAACAGATAAAAATAAATTGAAAATGGTTCGAAGTTTGAATGTACTTTCGGGAAGGTGATAGGCCCTAGGAATGCCCGCTAACTCGCGGTTGACCAGCGATTTGACTAAAATGACCTTCTAAATAAATTTTAAAATTATAACTAAGTAAATTTCATTTTTTTTAAATTTTTTTTACTTGCTTGTTTTTATTTTCTTTTAATTATTTATTAAGGGAAAATAACTAGAGGAAATCATTCTTAAAGGAAGAGATTCAAGTGTAGACTAAACAAAAAAAAAAACTAAGTAAAAAATAATGTCAGTCAACATAATCACAAATATTTTGAGGATTAATTAAATTAAAACCAAAACAAAATAATGTTAGTCAACATAATCACAAATAAATAAGGATTTAAAGAGAAAAATGTCAATTTTGGTCTTTGATCCCAATTCCTGTTAATGGGCCTGCTGGAATTTTAAGGTTTTTGGGTCCATTTTATTCTCCCGAAAAATCTGGTATACCCTTTATGTATACTACTGTATACAGGCCATATATAATCCATTTTGGACCTCCCGAGCTTGTATTTTCGTAGCACATTATAACCTGTATTCTCTGCTGCAATTTTACCCTTTTTACACACTGCATTCCGTATATTTCGATCTTATATTGGTGTATACAACCTTTATATCAACCTATTTTTGATTTTTTGAGGACTGAAAAATTAAATTTTCAGTAGCACGCTACTGCTTTCAACCTGTACCATCATTTTGAGGGGGCTGACCGACTCGGGATAAAGGTTTGTGCCTTTACGGCTCAACAAGAGAATGCAAATGGATGAAATAAAGTCCACAAGGACCAGAACGAAAATTTTTACATGCAATAAAATAGAAATGAGTTGGCATATGAGATAATATAATAAACAAGATATATCTTGAACGAAAAAAGATTTTACTAAAAAGGAAAAGCTACTAAGGGAATTTGAATTAGACCGGAATACATGACTTTAAAGTATTAAGTGAACCAAAATAACATTAACAAAAAACCTTCAAAAAGACTTTGGACAGTAGCACGCGTTGCATGTGTGAACACTACCAGACAAATTATATGCATGGGAATAACAATTACTCTGCATACATGTAGAAAATAAATTGATATCTTGAGGAAACCAATACTAAATGAACACCAATCTAAGGAATATGTACAATATAAGAGTGGAAAGATATCAAAGGAGGGGCATAAATAAGACAAAATACCAACAAACCATGCTATATCAATTATAAATAAAACAAAATAAAGAGAAAAAAAAACAAACTTAAACAAGGCAGTGTGTAACATTGACAATGGAAAACTCTTAAATTTGATCGAGTAGTATTAAGCATGCTTACTAACAAGATTCTAATTCGTTTTGTTTATTTATTTATTGATTTTTTTTGCTACAAACTACAATTACTATCGACAAAAGGCTCTAATCTAACTAAAAGAATATAAACTCAAGCTTAAGAGACCATTTTAATTTTTGATAAAATCACAACAAAAAAAGAACAAAAACCAAAACAGGCCTCTATAAATCATATAGTTCATAATATGGAGCAATCATAAAAAAAAATTATTTTTTTATTTTTTTTATTTGAAGAAACTTACAACCCAATACAATATTAAGCATTGAAGACAGCAGAAAGTGAAAAATAAGGACAATAATCAGGCTTGCAGGAGACAACAAAGCTCATATTTACTCTTGACATGTTAGTAAACAAAAAAGGGGCAAAAATCGATAGCTGCGAATCCACACAGAGAAAGCACCCAAAAATCAAGTCGTACAACATATAAGCCTAATATTGAAATCCGAATAAGTTTTAAACCATTTCGGGTAGAACAAAGAATAAAATTAGTTGTTTCCGAAATAGAATAGGCTCATATCGAGACCAACTCACAAAAACAAAACAAATAGAACAATAAACTCCATACTAAAAACAACATCAACTCCCAGGTAACCCAGAAACAAACAGCCACGAGACAAGGTTCGCTAATCATCGAAAATATTATTTTAAGATAAAAGAAGATTCGAGAGGGACATTATGAGGGAGAGGGTGTTACCTTTCGAAGTGCAGCAACTGGAGACGAGGAGGAAGAGTGCAGAAAATTCACCACTAACCTCGACTAGTGAACAACGAAATCGAGCAGAAATCTCGATTCCGACTACATTTAGTGTGAGTGCGAGCGACGAGATGGAGCAGAAAGATTTTGGCTAGGATTAACTATGTTCTAAACTTTGGTATATATTTTGACCACTTTCTCTAAGAATTCTGCATGTACTTTGCTTTCGATCAAGATTTCCGGCTAAAAAAATATTTTCTAACAACTTCCCCCAACTAGAGATATCCAACAAACTTTTGTCTAAGAAATCTCTAACTCAAGCTCTTCAAACAGATTTTCCTACTCTTTTTTCAAAGAAAGAAAAAAAAAAGTTCCCCCAAATCCCCCTTTAACAGTGGAACCAATGAGAGTATATATAGGGAAGAATTAGGGTTCCATTGAAGGGAAAAATGGATGAAAAAAATTCAAAAATAAGCCCCAAATCGAAATTCAAAAACGTCTGAACTTTCACCGAATTGCACGAACATTCTTTTTATGATGTTTCAAATGCATTCTGAAAAAGGAAGGGGAAATCGACGTCTAGGATCTATTAAACGTCCTTGGTGTCGACATAGAGTAATCTCCCGATTCCAAGGACGACATTGGAGGCCTGCTCCTGCCGAAAACACTGTACAAAAGCAGAAAGGGACAGAGGAAGAGGATACTGGCTCGACTTCTATCTATTTTGACGGGGAGAGGTACGCTTGGGAGCCGTTGTTGTTGTCGTTTGGTCAATCGTGAAGACGCTGTGAATTTTTATTATTGATGGAATTCACGCGCTTGGGATGAATTGTGAATTTCTCCTTACTACTATATTAGAAGAAGGCTATTTCAACATGCATGTGTCAATTTAAGGTTATTTTTATCTTTTCAATATTCAAATATAGCTAGGTGTCTTGCTTTTGTGTCTTCAATGTACACCTCACATTTAGCTGTCTTGATTATTTCAAGACCTTACTTCATTGCTCACAAAATATATCTCCTTTCTCAGGCATTCATTCTGGGTAATCTTTCTCTATATTCTTTCTTTTAATTTTTTTCATTACTTTGTTTTACTCAAACTAAAATTGCATTAAAAATTGTTCCTCAATTTTATCTTTGGTTGACCAAATTTGATATGGGTGTGTTAAGATTTCCTTTCTTTTTTTCATTTGGATTTGTTATTGATGTTCAACTTTTCTTGTACTTTTCAACAATTTCAATCATTGTGCCTTCAATTTTTTCATTGTTCTTGTATTTTTGTTGTTCTATTTTTTGTTTTTTAATGGTTTCTTTGTCTTGTACTCTTTATAAAATTTAAAAGTGGAAGTGTTATATATGGAGTTGCTATATCCAATTACTTTAACATGACGTTTTTCCTTCAAAATTTTGTGGAAAGGTTTCTTTGTTATACTTCACCAACCTTTTGTTCTTTATTCCTTGGAGGGAAGTGATTAGTGAATTCGTCTTAGATTTCTGCAAGCTACATTTAAATGAAATTTTGTGATAGTTCTCTTTACTTTTGTGACTTGAATTTCTTTAGATCAAGCAAAAACACTTTACTTACTTTGTTTCAAATTGAATTTACATATTTTGATTTCATCATTTATCTCCTTAGGTGAGATTTGGTTTTAAATTTTGAAAAAAATCTGTCTTTCTTTGCATTTGATTGAAAACAGTTTTTATAACAATCTAAAGGTAGTTCTGCGGAAGCTCTGTTTTGAACTTTTAAACCAAACAACACCCCTTGTATTTTAATCAACCGTTACTTTACTGAATACCATATTTCTCTTACTTGTTTGGAGAAGCAAAAAGGCTACCATTGTGCTTCATATGCTTCACCTTTAGATTCTCATCTCTTAATATGCCAAGTCAAATTGGACATTCAATATAAAACATAGTAATTATTTAGTTTATCTATCTAGTGTTTCCTTTTACATGATTGTCGGTATATTGTGTTTGTATGATTCATAATGGTAATAAGCTAGCATTTGTTGGAGTTTGACTTTTTATTTCATTGATATTAACGGGTGGAATATCATTTGTAACTTGTTTTGGGATTGCAGGGGCTTGAAAATATTTCCTAACTTCGTATCGATTATGAAGAGCAAGGATTCTAGTGATTGTACTGAGCATGCACTTTTTGATGAATTGAAGGCTTTGGAAGAGCATCTCAAGGCTCATGTATGCTGTTTTACATTGAACTATCTGATATGTTTAACTTAAATGTATGTGTCTCTAATTTTTACGGTGATCTTAGCTTTTATTGGCTCTGAATTTCATCAGGGACCATATGTCAATGGGCAGAATGTTTGTTCAGTTGATATGAGCTTGGCTCCAAAACTGTGCCATCTCGAGGTGGCTCTTGGAAACTTCAAGAAGTGGAGTGTGACTGAAAGCTTGAGTCACGTGCGTAATTACATGAAGGTATGCAATTTGTTTCTCTCCGTGTCCTTGTGTGCGTGCATGGTTGGTATCTGCTTTTCTATGGTTTGAGAACATCTTTGCGCTGGAGTAATTTGTTTATGTATTATCGGTGTGTTGAAATGTTTTTGTATTTAAAAGAATAACCACATTATATATATATATATATATATATATATATATATATATATATATATATATATATATATATATAGAGAGAGAGAGAGAGAGAGAGAGTTGTCACAGTAATACTAAATGTGATTATTTTCGATACCAAAAGTAGCTTTTGCCAGCTACCTTTTGTAATTTTCTTCTTAAACTACTAGGTGGCTGGAGTTATCTAAGTTGATGACACTCGAAAAGGAAGGTTTCCGTAGTTCGGCAAGTAGGAGACGACGATGAACTAAAAAGGCGTCGTCGAGCTGGTAGTACAATTATGTCACCTTCTGAAGGGGCCATCCTCTTTCGTGTGGCAGTCGTGAGATTCAAAAGTGAGAAGGAACTCTATGTGTTCTATATCGTCATCACTAAACATATCCCTCATCTTTTCATTTCTTGAGCGGTCTCTCAAGCAGATATCCATCTTGTTTGTCCTCATATCTCTCTCTATAACTGCCTTCTCTCTATTTTTTTTTCGTGGATCGTTTGACTTATTTTCAGTTGTGTGAGATTGATTATCTTTTGCAATGTCTTGAACCTAAATCATTAGATTTGATATATTTGCGATGATTATATGGTTCCTAATACATTCCTTGAAGGAACAACATATTACCTAAGCAAGTTCTTATATTGAACAAATACGAAAGACTACTTCTTGTTATCCTTAATGTAGTATGCATATTAAATAAAATGGTTACACAATACGTACTGATCAAATATTAAATCTACATTTTTATGTTTTTCCTGTCTTTGTTACAATTTGCCAATCCATTCATCCTTCTGCATGATTTAGACTGGTGGAATTTTTCTTATTACGATGAAAATATTGCTTTGCACACTGAGAATTGTGGGGAAGCAAATAGTGTATATACTATGAGCTTTCTTAATTGAACAATGGCTACACGATGCATTGCTCAAATAGAAAACTTGCACAACAAACATTAGTTGCCCAACACACTGATTCTTTTCTGAATTGTTGGATGTAGGATTTCGTTGAAAATATGTCGTGTTTCTTGTTCTATTCGAGGTGTGTTGCAGCTTCTATGATTGTAGAGATGAAATTTGTCTATTTATTTGACACATTGACCGTAATGCAAATGATGATATTGTCGAGTAATGAGTATGAAGGATCACCACTCTATTGATTTGGCTGGTGGAGTATGTGCTGAAATTTTGTTTGATTCTCCAGTAGAAAAGTATGAGGAGAAAAAGAAAAATAGAATTTCTTGCTAAGAGTCCTGATGGTACCACTGATGGTGTATTATGATCATTGATTTCATACTCTTCAATGGTAAAGAAACCTCTTGGTATAGCGTCAGAATGCAATATTATAAGCCAATAAGTCTAGGACGAACTCTGCATCACATAGGCATACGTAATAGCATTCTAAGGTGTACAATGATAATATATAGTTAAAATTCCTACTCAATTTTTATGAAGGTGGAGTAGTTGTTTGTATCAATGGTAGGTAGTCCAGAGTGGTGCTTTTGTGTGTCAATTGTCCTTCTTGCCCTTCTTAAGAAAATATATGTGTGTTTGCACTAATCAGTATGAATGGCTTAAGTTTAACTTTTTATTCTGGGACACTTTTGATACATTAAATATTTAGTGTTTTCATTGATCAGTTATAGATCTTAACTGAAATAAATAAGGATTCTTTTTCTGCAAAACATAGAACAGTATAAGAAAAAGAAATCTAAATTCAATGTACTGTAACTATTGTTAGTGCATTGACTGTTACTTTGATAAATCAATCTTTTTTCATGGAAAAAGTTTCTTATTGTAAAGCTAATTCTTCTGTTCTACAATTTCTGATGTGTAGAGCTAATACTTACATTTTGTAATTTTCAGAATGATATCAAATCTGCCTTTTGGTCAATGCTCCTATGCTATATAGAGCAGCATGTGTCCCATTCTTTGTTCTCAAGTATGCAATGACACTTGATGGCGAGCGCATATCCTATGATGCTGCAACAAGAGTGTTATGGTAGCAATCGCTGCATCTACTATTTTTTTTGGGGTCATACACAAGGTATAGTCTCATTATCTTTCTTGCTATTTATTTTCAATCTCATGCTGAGTTGTTATTAACTTGTCAGGAAGATATGTTTTATTCTCTTAAATTTCTAAAATGGAAATCATACAACTGAAAGTCTAACTTTGATTTTCTATTTAAACCTATTAAGAAGTTTTTGTTCTTTACAAATTACACCATGAATGACAGTAACTACCTCATTCAATGACTTTTCAGAACAATCCAAATAGAGGATACTTAGCTAATTCTTCTGGTATTGTAAAAATTTTCATCAATGCTCAAAGAATAGTATATTGAACATCTTTGCATTTCTTGAGCGGTCTCTCAAGCAGCTATCCATCTTGTTTGTCCTCATATCTCTCTCTATAAATGCCTTCTCTCTATTTTTTTTCGTGGATCGTTTGATTTATTTTTAGTTGTGTGAGATTAATTATCTTTTGCAATAACTTGAACCTAAATCATTAGATTTGTTATATTTGCGATGATTATATGGTTCCTAATACATTCCTCGAAGGAACTACCTATTACCTAAGCAAGTGCTTATATTGAACAAATACGAAAGACTACTTCTTGTTATCCTTAACGCAGTATGCAATTTAAATAAAATGGTTACATAATACATACTGAATCAAATATTAAATCTACATTTTTATGTTTTTCCTGTCTTTGTTACAATTGTCCAATCCATTCATCCTTCTGCATGATTTAGACTGGTGGAATTTTTCTTATTACTATGAAAATATTGCTTTGCACACTGAGATTTGTGGGAAAGCAAATAGTGTATATACTATAAGCTTTCTTAATCGAACAATGGCTACACGATGCATTGCTCAAATAGAAAACTTGCATAACAAACATTAGTTGCCCAACACACTGATTGTTTTCTGAATTTTTGGATGTAGGATTTCGTTGGAAATATGTCGTATTTCTCGTTCTATTCGAGGGATGTTGCAGCTTCTTTCATTGTAGAGATAAAATTTGTCTATTTATTTGACACATTGACCGTAATGCAAATGATGAGATTGTCGAGTAATGAGTATGAAGAATCACCACTCTATTGATTTGGCTGGTGGAGTATGTGTTGAAATTTTGTTTGATTCTCCAGCAGAAAAGTATGAGGAGAAAAAGAAAAATAGAATTGCTTGCTAAGAGTTCTAATGGCACCATTGATGGTGTATTATGATAATTGATTTCATTCTCTTCAACGGTAAATAAACTTCTTGGTATAGCGTTAGAATGCAATAAATTTTAATTTCACAAGAAAAATATCACAAAGAAAATATTGAATTACGAACGATGTGTGCATCATAAGGACTTTCAAAAACTTTCTATAGTTATCATTTAAAATTTACCTAACAAATAGAAATCCACAAATTACAAATTGTTAGCTCAAACATTCCACTATTCTAATAATACATACACAAATAAATTATTATTGTTGGGCCCGTGCTTGCACGGGCTATCTCTTACTAGTGTTGAAAGAGAAAAGGCTAGGGCCAGGTCGAGGATTAAAAGGGAAAATGGGTTTATTTGGTGGGCTGCTGACTTAGAAAGATGCGGGCCGGGAATTGGACTGTAAAATGGGCCTATTTTGAATCTTAGATGGGTTTAAGGTGAGGTAAGGATAGAGTTTTGAGTTTAAGCAAATTGAGTTAAGTTAACAAATTCGACTTAACTCTAAATAAATATGAATTAATATTAATTAATTTACAAACTTCTTAATATTAACAAAATGAAATAATCAAATTAATAATTCAAAATTATAATCATAATTTGAACAAAGCTAATTTAACAAAGTAATCACTAAAATTTAAAATTTTGAGATGATTTTCGAAATGTTCATAAAATATACTAATTATATATATATATGTATAACAAAACACGCCCGTGGCGCCATGGTAGAAGGGCGACTTATGAACCCTGATCTTCAAGGGTTCGATTCCCGTTTGCTCCACTATTTTTGGGAATTCCTACAAACCTTTGTAAGGAAAAAAAAGGCTCTAGCCTTTTTTTTAAAAGGAAAACAACTGATACTTTTTTGCTTTTTTTTAAAAAAAAAATTTTATTGACTCAAATTAAATTATTTCTTAGACTTTTCTTTTATTTGATTAAACATTAAAAAAAGGTGTTCTCTTTCTCTTCAACTTTTAGCAAACCTTTCTTCCATCAAGTTCAACTTCTCCATAGTGTTCCTTGCCCCATTCTGATTTTCGAGCCTAGTGACTTTGACGCCTGCTGCCCAATTTTTGGATGATATTATTTTCACTTTTATCCATTCATCCACAATCTTTTATATATTGTAAGTTTGTAATTCTATTTTTGTAAGTTTTTTTTAATTTCTATTTCTTGAGTTTTTTTTATGTGTAATTGAGTGATGATTGATTTCATATGAGACAAGAGCTTTGATTTTACTTTGATATTCTAAATTTCTAATGAACATTGTAACTTGTAAGACATTATGGGTTAAAAATTGTGTGATATGAACCACGTTTATTTAAATTAACTATGACTTACCCAGAGGCAGATCCAGGATTTCGAGTCTCTAGGTTCCAAGTAGTTTCATTGGTTAAATTAATTTTAGGCTTCAGTCAAATTATTCATCTTTTCTGTCTATGAAAATATGAACAATAATAAGATGAAATATTTTGTATTATATATACTAAAAATTCATTGCGCATGAATCATCCTTTATCTTTACCGCATTATTTAAATTTTATCAAATGTCTCTAACGAAGCAAATGTTTATCGTTTTAATTTAGAGCTCTTGTTGAAAGTCGAATTCAAGACCGACAACAAAAGACTTTTTTTCTCACATAATATTTGGAAAAAAACACTTTATCTCAAATGGTTTACTATTTGAACACTCACCTACAATTTTCCTTTCCCTTCCCTACCTCTATATATAAATACAAATTTTTACCCCACATTTGATTGAGATCATAAAGTGAACAAAGTTAAAACTTTCAATTATACTATAAATAGCATAAATATTCATCGTTCATTTATAATCGTACATGACAAGTTTTTACATTTTTAAAATAATCAATGATGATATCAATGCTTATATTTATAATGGATCATGTTTTATGGAACCTGTTAGTAAAATATACTTATAAATTACTACTCCATATTAAGACAACTATTAGAATCAAACAAAAAAAATAATGCGTTGCTATCATATTAAGGGAGCAAGTTAAAATTGCAAAAGGGGCTCAGCAGCAAGTTAAAAAACTCACAGGGCCTCAACAAGTTTCGAATTGGCGACCTCCATATCAAATTATGACCCTTAGCCAGCCGCGCCAAAAGGCCTTTTGGTTCCCTGGGTGGCACGTTTAATATTAGTTATTGTATTGTAGATATATACCTATATATATTAGAGTTTCCATCAAAGCCCGTGGGTGGCGTGGCACCCCCACTACCCGTAGTAGTTCCGCCCCTGGTTTCTTCTAAAGGATTTTGACAATTTTTATGTTTATGAAAATATAAATAGTATACAGTAAACTATTGCGTGAATAACTTAATAATATCAGAAGCACAACATATTCGAGATCATTTTATATATAAAAAAAACCTTAGATTAAAATTGAAGTGTGTATTTGTTGAATTGTTGTATAGAGACAATGTTGCATGGTGATCGACAATACTACAATAAATCCATGAGTTGAGGCGGAGTATCGAGTAAAAATATCAATACTCCTTGATCTATCCAATGATTGAATGTTGGGATGGGATGAATACTCATCTATAAGTTGAGACGAGGTATTCAAGAACAATCTCTTACGGGGTATTCAAGAACGATCTCTTTTCCCTTAATGTATGAGATACTCTATGGAATGTAGGCTAAGCACCGAGTGGATATTGAATGGGATGGGTACTCATGTATGAGTTGAAGTGTTAAACCTAATAGCAATCTCTGGAGCTTGATGCCCATCCTAAGTAGAGGTGGGTTGTCTAGTAACAACCTCTTTATCCCATAACTATGTGCCCGCATAGGTCTAGCTAGTTATTCAACTTAAGCTAATTAATGGCTTACCCTAGGCAAGTAGACCAGTACTTACGATGTGGGATAGTACCTCAGATTGCATGATTTAGCTCCCTTGTTCTATATAGGTTAAACGGTTATTCCCATCATGTGAGATGTGGATTATGATTTTTTAGAGGTTCCATGATGTGTGAGTGGTAGTATGGGATGTCATCCATGAATTGCATGAGTAGGATTGATGAGGGTCAGAGTGACTTCTCTAAGTCTTAATGACTAAATGAAAGAATGTGTCCTTAAAGAATGAATGTTTTCCAATGCAAGCTAATAAAGAATGTTGACTTGAAGTCTAAATGCTATTGTGCATGCTTTACTTAGATTGTACTTATGCTTTACTTTCCTAGTCATGACTTGGTGAATTGAATGTGTCTAGTTTTTGGTGGATCCAAATGAGGACTTAGTGTGAGTAGTAGTATGGGATGCTACTTGCACGTTGCAGAAGTATGACTTAGCGTTGTCTTAGATGATGGTCCTAATGTGATTCATGAAATATTTATGTCTCTTACACTTATTGTGAAAAGGTTGAAAGGATGAATGGTAAGTTCAATTTTGGTGACCTTAGTTTTATGCCTTAGTGTGGATGGTGGTATGCGATGCTATCTATACATTGCACAAGGTATAACATAACGGTTACTTGGGGTGGAGCTCTAAGGAGAAGGTAATGGTTTACGTGTGATATAGTTCAATTGTGAAGATATGACTTGCATGTTGGGTTTGTTTTAATATCATGTCTATTATGCTTATGTTCATGAAGTTTCATAAAAATGGCATTTTCATGACTTTCAAATAAAGTTTCATTTTTAAACCATGTTTTTGTGTGGTTATCATACTTAGTACATTTTTGTGTGGTGACCCATATTTCTTCATGTTTTTAGTACAAGTATAAGTTCCAGCAAGTGATTGGTTAAAGCTAGGATAGATGTGCTTGGATAGAGTTTCCTCCAAGACTTGGTATGTTCTTATATATCGAGGACAAGGACTTTTGTTATACCTCTTGTGCTTTAGTTGTTAGATATTCGTTAAACCTTTGGAGTGTTATGGGGACTCCGTATTTATTATATTGTTATTTAAATTTTTTTTTTGTATTCGTAAATGCCTAGTTTTTGGTTAAATTGCTTAGTTGGGCTTTAGTAATGGTTCTCCCACTGGAGGGTTAGTGTGGATGCCAGTCACAATGGTCTGGGACGTTAAAAGAATAAGTTCATGGGTATAATTGTTGATGTTAAGGGATGGTAATTTAAATAGATAGTAAGCCTCGATAGGCGTAATGTGGGGTCATATGGGGAGTTGAGATGAGGAAAATGTAAGGGTGTGTCATGAGTGGTTTGATGGGTTGGTAGTAGTATACTTGGAACTTACTTAAGGTATTAATTGATTAGGTATAATCACGAATAAAGTATGTAATGGGTTAGAGGCAAGTGAACTAGTATGATATTAATATTCGAAATGGGAAGGTCAGTAAAAATATAAAGGTGGAGGATTGATAAGTCTTTTTGCATGTTTCACCAGTTGATTTCTATTATTAGGTGGTTTGTATTCGGGTTGACCGATGATGCCTAGTTCATAAGGCTATACTGATACTACTCTTTGTAGGCCTTTTGGGCATAGTCTGGTTGCGGGATTAATGATGTCTCGTATGTGAAGATGAAAGCACTGCCGCACGAAACTCTTTCACAAGACTTCGGACACACCCCTGACAAAACGACTCATTTCATCTTTAGGATAAGACACCAAAGATGAAGCATACTTGGAAAACTTGATGAATTTGAAAGATTATTCTTGAATACTCACACCCCTTTGACGAAGGTTGATGAATTGTTCCACTTTTTCCTCTCTTTTCTCCCTTTAGAAGAACCTATCGAGAAACGCCTTCCTAAAGACTTTTCAACTTGCGGGACCCACTCTCAAAGTCCTATTGTCCTTCCATTGAGTATACCAAGTTTGAGACACATCTTTGAGTAGATAAAAAGCTAGCTCGTTCTTCTCATTTGAACTAAAGTCCATAGCATACAATATCTTATAAACCTAATCTAGAAATTCTTGGGTATCTTCAATACCTTAGACCCAAAGAACATTGGAGGGTTCATCCTAGTGAAGTCCCTCAAATGTGAAGATGGGGTACTAGGATTTTGATTCACACGAGGTGCAACTTCTCGATTTACTTGTGCTATCATAACTTGAGACTGA